CAGGCCTGCTTTCTCTCCTATAGATTTGGATTTAACAAAGTCAAAGGGAAAAGTTATTCAAAGGTAACAATTTAATGCTTCCTGGCCATGAGATGAACAGTTTGAGTCTACCATGCACTCCTGCCTGGGTGTGCTGCCAAATGCCCAAAGCAACTGATTGTAGACTGGCTCCCTGGAGGCTTCACTTCCTACAAGAGGAGGAACTGGGTCTGCAGGTAGGGTATTCTTTGGTATTTTTGTTTGTTTGGGTGATAGTGGGATTGAACTCAAGGGTGCTTTACCTCTGAGCCACATCCCCACCCTTTTTATTTCTTATTTAGAGGCAGGGTCTCACTGAGTTGCTTAGGGCCTCACTAAGCTACTGAAGCTGGCTTTGAACTTGCCATCCTCCAGCCTCAGCCTCCCCAGCTGCTGGGATTGCAGGTGTGAGCCACCCTGCCCGGCACCTTCATGGTCTTCTAGGTATTTGATCACTGCCATCTGCTAGTTGTACATCTTGTATTCAGCTCTGTTATGCCCTTCCAACCTGATGCCTCTCCTACTTCCCCACTTAAATGGAATAGCTACATCTTGAGATTCTCTTGCTGGGCGCTTGGCCTTGGGAAGGTCAAAGCTGAGGCTGCTCCACCACCCTGTGATATGAATGAGTCCCCCCCTCCCAGCATGGGTGGATGGAGGTAGAGTGGGGGTGGGGGACTGGAGCACCTGTGTAGCTAGGAGATGGAGCAGTTCTTAGGCTGTGAGCGGAGGACCAAAGAAACTTTAGAGAGTCCTAAGGTAAAGGCTGTGTTTTGGATCCTCTTCTATATATTCTGACAGAAGCTTGATGAAAGTGGGGGAGGGGCACTGAACAATCTAAAAAACAATCCCATTTCACCTAGATTTAAACCAGAAAAGGAGACCAGGTGGGTAATAGTTTAGGAAACAGTATCAAAAGATTATCTAATCTAAACCATGCACCGTGGCACATGCCTGTAATCCCAGAGACTCAGGAGGCTAAGGCAGGATTGGGAGTTCAAAGTCATCCTCAGAAATTTTAGTGAGGCCCTAAACAACTCAGTAAGACACTGTCTCTAATAAAATATTAAAAAGGGCTGGGAATGTGGCTCATTGATTAAGTGTCCCTGGGTTCAACCCCCAGTACCAAAAAAAAAGAGAGAGAGAGAGAATAGCTAATCTAAATGTTTATTTAGTTATAGGAAGTTTCCTTTTACCCAGAAATTAACCCTGTCAGACTACATATGACAAAGACTCAATAACTAGCCAACTGACAAACTTTAAGCCTCTCCCTTCTACAAGCACCGCCATACAGTATTGCCTAGGAAAAACAGGACACGGGCTACAGAGGAAAAATGTGTTAATACATGATAAGCAAAAGAAGCAACATGACAAGATAACACGAGTGCCGGGGTGGGTCAAGAAGACCATTGTGGCAGGAAGGGAGTGTTGTTAGGAAACCAAGAATTCTGCCTGGGCTGGCAAGACTGAGGTGACTTGTACACATTGATGTGGAACTCTCAGACTCTTGGCTATGTGGATCTGGAGTTTGGGGGAGAGATCCTACCTGAAAACAAAATTAGGAGCTACTACCTTATAGATGTATTCAAACTCTTGAGAGTCCCTGGAAGAATCTGTAAATGAGAAGGTCCCAACAATTAGAAATCCAGCAGGGGGGAAGGACCAAAAGAGACAGAAGAAGCAAGGCATGGGGAAGTAGATGGTTGGGAGAACACTTATCGCAGAAACAAGAGAAAGCGGTATAGACCAGTAGAGAGGGACCAACTTGAGTGCCAGTGGGGTAAAGTGAGACTGGCATAGAAGGTAGTGACCTGGACAAGAGTATTTTAATAGAGGAGAAATGAATCTAGGTGGCATGGATTGAGCAACAATGAGAGGGGAAGGGAGTTGGGAAATCTCAGCAGCTCAGCAAATGGGAAGCATCAAGATTGGTGAGAGGACCAGGTTTTTGTCCCCCAGATGGACAGAGCTGAGGCAGTTCTGCTTTATGAGCAGGACACAGCAGGACAGAAAGAAGGAGTTTGATGGAGAGAGGGGTGGGTTATAGGGACTAGGTGGAGGGGTGGTGGGCCTGTCTCTTGGGAGGGAAGGCAGGTGTGGGTGCAGACACAGGCAGTGTGGATGTGGGGCGAGGAAGTTTTTATTGCTGCTTTTATTTCAGGGAAGTTGAAAGCAAGGTCTTTGACTGAGAATGTGGCAGGGAATGGTGCAGAGGAGGCTTGAAGAGTCAAGAAAATGAGGAAGAAGGATGATGCAGGATGGCTCAGGGGCCAGAATTCTCCCACAGCCCCTTCCCCACAGCCTAGGGGCACCAGGTCTGTCTTCAATGTCTGTCCCTCCTTCTGCAACAAAGCTTCTGGCCAGAGCTGACTCCTGGAGATGGCAGGGAGCAGGGCTCTGAGGCTTTGTTACACCTGCCCCTGTGGGGCTCCCCTTCCATATACTGCCCTGGTTCTTCCCCTCCCCTTTAAGGCACTATGCAGGTAAGTCTGCTGGGAAAAACTGGTGTGGGCCACGAACGGACAGGGAAAAAAAAAATCTCTTTATTTCTTTATTTCGGTGGTTTTGGTGTTTAGGGCCTAGCCTCATGCACACTAAGCACAGGCACTACCACTAAGACCCCAGACCCTATTTTTTTTTTAAAGGATGGGGTCTGTCTGTATTGCCCAGGCTAGCCCTGAACTCCTGGGCTCCAGTGATCCTCCCTGCTTGGCCTCCCAAGTAGCTGGGCCTACAGGCACACACCACCAAGCCCAAAACAAGTTAATTTCTATTCAGAGCCTACCAGGTCCCAGGCACTTCATCTCGTTATGCTTCACACCAACTCTTTGAAAAAGGTTGAGTGACTTGCTCAAAGTCATTGTCTCTTGCAAGGGAAGGCACAGCCAGATGTCAGCCTCTGGGCTGATGTGGCTAGCTCCCGCCCTTCCCTCCACACCACTGCTTTGCAGAAGGTACATATGAGATTCCTTCCACCCCCAGAGCTGCCATCAAGAAACCCACCCCCACCCTGCTAGCCCTTCCTGTCTATGGTCCTTGGGCTACCTTTGAATTGCCACTTCTATTTCTATGATTCCTCAGAGCTACTTGGGAAAATGCAGTGAGGCCTCTTAGACTTCTCAGTCTTCTCTCCAGGAGGCCTGCATGTTCCAGCACCTCCCCAGAGAAAATAGCAGCCACGCTGCCCAGCCAGGGCTCATTTCTTCATCTTGTCCACACAGAGCATGTGTCCCCAAAGGGATGCCCCATGAAGCTTGATCTGCCTCTAGCCCGGATCCACCTCCCCCCTTCTTTTCACAATGCCTGAACAAGTAACCAGGCACACTCTGCCCATCATTCTGCGCCTCTGCACAGTCCTCTCTGCCTCAAACTCCTTACCTCCAACTCCCCCTTCTTTAACCCCCTCTTTCCAAAGTCGTGTCAAGCAAACCTTCTTGACTGGCCAGCCCTTCTTGACTCCCTGCTGTCCCTCTTCTAAGGGCCACCAAATCACCATCTGCTGAAGTATATATGTTAGCATATATAAAGCACTCCCATACCCCTCGGAGGACACCTAATTCTCCCCTTTGCATCCTGAGCACATAGTGTCTGCTTTACAATGGTGCTTTACGGTTGCAATTGAAGCTGCTAGAGACACTGAAAGAGACTGAGCTTGCTAGAGAGAGGAAAGTAAGAGCGCTGATTCATCAGGGGAAAATGTGTAGCATTTAGCTTATAACGCAATCTTCAGTGGCCTAAAACAAGTTTGATTTCTCACTAAAGCTAAAGGTCCCGTGTTGGCCAGCAGGGGGCGCTGTGCTTGAGAAAGTAACCAGGGACCAGACTACCAAGTTTAATAGAATCTCCTTGCCGGAGGATATGAGCTCTAGGGGGTCTTTCAGCAGCAACTAAATGCTTTGATTGGGATGTCACCTGCTTCTCTTCTTCCCCAGTCACAGAGCCAAGGAAGTACAATTTTCCCATATGTCCAGCAGGAATACAGGGTGGAGCACTTGGCTCTCAGGAACATTCCTCCTGGCCTGCTATGAAAACCCACAGCTGCCTTGTTATCAAGTAAATCATGTTATCAAGTAGATTGATCTGAGCAGGAGGCAGTTTGCTCTTGCTCCTGAGCTGGTGTCACTGTGGTAGGGGTGTGGCTGGCAGAGGAAACCACCAGGTGTGGTCATGGGAAAGTCCCTCCAACATTCTATAGAAACATGGAATTTCCTGGTTTTAACCATTTCTTATTCAACTGCTATCTCAGAGCTGATCAGAGCAGCACAGACCTCTCCAGCTTCCCAGGACATTTGATTCTAGGGTACTGGGTCTTGTTTGGGAAGCTGGCATCCCTGCATTCCAGCCCAGCAGTCTGTGAAGATTATGGCCCAATAACTAAATGTGTGTGAGCTTCAAAACCTTCAATGCCTGTCTGAAAAACGCTGTCCAGTCTCCCAGGCTTTTGTGGATTTACTGTTCTGTCATCCATAAGCCCAAGGAGTGTGTGCACCCTCATGCTGTGGCTGAGAAAGTGGATTGGGAGGGGTTGTATGCTATGCTCCAGGTCACACTGGAGTACTTGACTTGGGTTCCAGTGTTGCCCCTGGTCCTCTGGGTGTTCCTGGGAAGGCAAGTCAGATTCGACTTCTCCTAGAAGTGGCAAGGTACACGTCCTGGACCTCCCTGGGGCTCTTGGGTGTGGGAACTCCGTCTTCCCAGCAGCTCTCTACTTGGTTAACTTGCCCAACCTGCTCTAGGGATTCTGGGTAGAGACCTGAAATTCCCTGCTCCAGTGAACTGCAGGAGGTGCCAAAACATGACCCAGTGGCCTGCCACAGATGCCCAGGCCTAGTTCCTGGCCTCTTTGTGGCTCGGACTCTAGTTCTATTGCCTCCACTTGAGAACTAAAAGCATCCTCTTTCTCCTTCCTGCTGTGGTGTCGGTAGCAGCCAAGCTGCCTGTCTCTTTAAGAGAGAGAGAGGGAGAGAGGTGGGGAGGGAAAGAACGAAATCAGGAAGTATGAGAGAGCCCAGAGCCAGGGCTCTACAGAGCTGGGTGTCAGGGCTGGCAGGGAAGAAATCTGTAATCCCAGCTCCCAGCCGTCACAGGGCCATTTCAACTAGCCCTGCCTGTGTCCCAGGGTCCTTGACTATCAGGATGTTGTGGGTACTTCCCAGGAATAACTGCTGCAAGCCTTGAGGGTGCCAGGGGTGCCACCCCGTCCTACAAGTGGGCATCCCCTGAAGCCGCGATGGGGTGAGTATGCAGCATCCCCTGGGGAGGGTGATATGGGGATCCTGGGCATGGGCAGTGCAGGGTAGGGCTCAGCGGAGGCAGGCACATCAGCAGAGGAGTGGCTCAGGGGGCCCAGCGCCCACTGCCTGTGCTCTCTGTGGCTACTGGGGGGAGGGTGGTATTCTGCACACCTACCCTGGTGGACACTCTTGGGAAGGACTATCTGGAGGCCAGTGAGCCCCATGGAGGGTTGTGGCATACAAGAACACCCCATCAGCTACCAGTGCCCCTTTCCTGGGCTTCCCCACACCCCGAAGCTTCCCAACACCTCTCCTTGGGGTCTTTCCCACTGGCCAGAGTCCCAGGAGTAGGAGTGATCAGGAAAGGCTCGCAGAACAGCTGAGGAAGAAGCCTGGAAACCACCCCCCAGCCCTGTGGGGGAGGTGACAAACAGGAAAGGGTTAAAGGGCTGGGGTTGGTGGCCTTTGATGGGGGCTGAGAATCAAAAAGCACCAAGGGGGCCTCTCATCCGCCCTCCTCTTTCCGGTGTAGCTCAGCTCCTGGACTTGCCACAGACAGAGAGCATAACACATACTTGCCAGGGAGAGCCTGATTCAAGGCCACTCAGAGCGTGGGGTAAGTGCATCTGGCCACCGAAGAGCCCGAGGAGGGCGGGGAGGCCACGGGTGGGTCAGCGCACCTTCCGTGTTGTCGTCCATCCGTTGTTCATCCGTCGTCCATCCAATCAATGAAGGCTACTGAGCCCTCTGTGCACAGGTGCCGGGGCAGACTAGAGTCAGATGTGCCACAAGCAGAGCTCCTAGGCACAGAACCCAAGGCTGTGTCACCCACCGTGAGGCCCTGCATTTTGCACCACACGCTGGTCATCCTAGGTCCTCAGCTATTCCTGGCCACACGCTGCACAGGGGTTGTGTCGCACTAGCCCAAGGAAGAATGATGAAGGTCATGCAACCTGGTGGGGCTGAGCTCCCCACGCCGGCCCCTTGGGCTTGATTTCAGTGTGTTCTGCCCCAGCCTCACACCCCAGACCCCCAGCTGACTCCTTCCAGGGCAACCTGGCCAGTTCATCCATATGAACTGCTGCTATGTAGTCCCAGTGCCTCAGTTGCTTCTGCATGATGCAAACACAAGTTTCAAGTCTGAAACTCGGACTTGACCAATGAACTGTTTAAGTGTCCTCTGACTCAAGGAGCTGACATACTCAAGGATTTGCATTTTCAAAAAAAAAAAAAAAAAGATTAGAGAGAGAAAAGGCTTAAAGCTAAGCAACATAGGATTCCAGGCCTGGGATATGAGAGCAGAAGTAGGCCCTTGTCTAATCTAGGATTCCTTCACAGATGCCCTCAGGCATTTCAAAATGGCCAGTCCTGACCTTATTATACTTCAGACAAGTATTGAGATTGACTCCTAAGGCTACCCTTTCTGGAATCAGTTGCTTTAAAGGAACTGGCCTTTGGAGAAAACAGGACAGGAGAAAAGATGGGGAACAGGGCTGTAGAGGGGTTTCATATCCTCCTCAGGGCTTGTGTTTGATGGTCTCTGGCCTTCCCCACCCACTGCCTGTTCCCTGTCCCTCTCCTCTCTCTCTCTCTCTCTCTCTCTCTCTCTCTCTCTCTCTCTGTAACAGCACTGACCTGTATGCTGGTGACCTGGTGAGCAGCTGTTAGCTCAGGGCAGAGGAAGTGGGGGCCAGGCAGTCAGGCAGTGGGTGGTGTGGGGGCTCCAGGCTCATGTTGCAATCTTGGAGATTTGTGGTGGTGTGACTGACCTGAGGCCCTTCCTCCTGCACTGTTTCTTCTTCCTGGGACAGTCCCAGGCCTGGATGCCAAAACCCTAGAGTCTGGAAGAAGTGATGGAGTAAAGAAGCTCTTCTCTGCAGAATGGGAGGGGCTGGGGGACACTGGGGAGTGAGTACAGACAGATGGCCCTGTGGGTAGAACAGGCCCAGCTATGGGCTGAGGGCCTAGCAGGCCTCCTCTTGGTTATGCTTCATTTGGAGGAAGTTACTTAACCTTTCTGTGCTTCCAACTTCCCCACTCCTGTAAAAATGGCCATATGGAGCCCTTTCTGGGGTGGCCTTGGACTGGCCATCAATGTCCATTCCAGGTTAGGAATAGAATCCTGGGGTCCCCCGTGTGTACTTTTTCCAGGGAGAGGAAATGCAGAGCACCGCCAACTACCTGTGGCACACAGATGAGCTGCTGGGCCAGGGGGCGACTGCCAGTGTGTACAAGGCCCGCAACAAGGTAAGTGGCAACCCTGTGGGGGCCGCAGTCTGGCCAACCCAGCCCACCCCCACTACCCTGTGCCCAGCAGGAAGCCCTAGCAGCCTCCTGTGGGCCTGGAGGTGGTGTGTGGCTGGACAGGGACATCAGACTCGTTGTACCCACTTGGGAGGAAGGACCCCATGGATTTGGGCAGTGGGGAACTAAGTAGGTACGAGTTAGGACAGGAGACAGATGACAGCACAAAGCAAATATCCAGGGGGAGGTGATAGCAAGTGGGATCTAGGGATAGCAGAGGCGGGAAACAGGATGCCTGGGTTTATCCTGCATCCGCTGTGGAGCCAGATCATTATATATGAGGCTCCCCTCTCCTATGTGGGAGTTGGATTCAGGTAGCCCAGGTTCCAATCCCAGCCCTCCTGCTGAGTGCCTTTGCAGTTAGTATCTATGGCAAGAGTAACAGTTGCCACAAGCCATCACCTGTAGGGTCTTGGGTGTGCCAAGCCTTTGTCACCTCCTAGGGCCTGACCATCTACTGCCTGAATAGGGGAAGGACCTGGGGGTAGGAGCCTGCTTCCTCTCCTTAGATTTGGCTGCTGGGAGTCTGAAGAGGGGCCCCAGAGAGCGTGGTGGCTCCTCAGCAGGGGTGGGACCTGCATTGTCCCAGGCCACTTCCCAACCTTCCTCCCCATGGCAGAAATCCGGGGAGTTGGTCGCTGTGAAGGTCTTCAACACCGCCAGCTACCTGCGCCCCCGCGAGGTACAGGGGAGGGAGTTCGAGGTCCTGCGGAAGCTGAATCATCAGAACATCGTCAAGCTGTTTGCAGTGGAGGAGACGGTGAGTCCCGTAATGGGTCAAGTTGGATGGCCTTGTTCTTGATCCTCAGTCTGGGGAGAGACTTGGGTCACCTGCTAATCAAAAGTCAAGACCAGGGAGGAGGAAACTGGAGAGTAACATGTTGAGCGAAACAAGTTAGTCTCAAAGTCAAGGGTAGAATGTTCTCCCTCATATGTGGAAGCTAGAGAGAAAAAAAAAATACGAAAAGAACCTCGTGAAAATAGAAAGAGTTGAGGAAGGGGATAGGGAGGGAGGAGAGGCAGAAAAGGGAAAGATCTGGGGAATGAAGTTGATCAATCTATGCCATATGCATATATGAATAGGTCACATGAATCCCACTACTATGTAGAATCATAATGCACCAATTAAAAAAAACAAAACTCAAGGGTGGTGGGACAGCACGTCAGAATGCATGAGGGAATCATTTCCTAATGAGAAGACTTCCTGTGAAGGGTGGTCTTGGATTCTGGCCTGTGGGATCCATGTAAGACCAAAGAGGGAAGGCCAGGCCAGAAGCTGCTAGAGCTCTGGGCTCTACTCAGGGAGCCACCTCTTCTTGATGGGGGAGGGGAAGTGCCCTCCGCCCCAGCCTTCCTCTGTCCCGGCCACAGGGGGGAGGCCGGCAGAAGGTGCTGGTGATGGAGTACTGCTCCAGCGGGAGTCTGCTGAGCGTGCTGGAGAGCCCAGAGAATACCTTCGGGCTGCCGGAGGACGAGTTCCTGGTGGTTCTACGCTGTGTGGGTGAGCTCACCCTGTCCCCAGCTCCCATCGGACCAGCCATGGCCTGGGCCCTCCACCCAGGGGGGTAGGACATTCTGAAACAAGTAATCCCAACCCAAATGAGCGTTCTCGAGGGTCTCCACTTACAGTACTGAGACAAATGGGCAGAACCCAGGTGTCTGATTCCTGTTAATCATTCAGCTTCAAACTATCATTTAAAAATAAATTTTAAGCCTGGTGTGGTGGCTATAATCCCAAACCTATAATCCCAGCTGCTCCAGAGGATGAGGCAAGAGGATTGCAAGTTCAAGGCCAGCCTCAGCAACTTAGTGAGGCCCTAAGCAACTTAGCAAGACCCTGTCTCAAAATAAAAATATAAAAAAGGCTGGGAATGTGGCTTGGTGGTTAAGTGCCCCTGGGTTCAATCCCTAGTACAAAAAAAATAATAAAAATAAATTTTAAAAAGAGTGTATGCCAGTATACAATCAGCATTATTCACAGGGCCAAGGTGGGGGATATCTAAAAGGATAAAATAATGTACATGCATACAGTAGGATCCACTCCAGCCTTTAAAAGGAGGGACATTCTGACATCAGCTGCAGTATGCATGCACCCCGAGGATACTCTGCCAAACAGAAGGACAACTGCATGGTCCCACTCACACGAGCTTCCTGGAGTGGTCAGATCCCTAGAGACAGATGGCAGGATGGTGGTTGCAAGGCCTGGGGGTGGGGTGTTGTTTAATGGATATAGAGTTTCCATTTGGGAAGATGAGAAAATTCTGGAGATAGGTGCTAGTGATGAGCGCTTGACAATATTAATGTGCTTAATGCGCTGCGCTGTTCACACCAACACAGTTAAAATGGTAAATTGTGTGAACTATCTTTGGCCACAAAAAAATAAGAAGGGGAAAGGCAGGCCCTGGGTTTCTTTGAGAATCCAGATGGAACCTCAATACTCTAGGGTCCTTGGAACGTCCCTCCTTCCCCCGTGCCCATCTCTGTTCTCCTGTTTCTTTTGTGGCCCTGTCACCTGGTGGGAACTCCTCCGGGTCTCCCTGGGGCCAAGGACAGCCTTTCCCAGGGCCAGCTAGCGGCCCTCTGTATGTCCCCAGTGGCCGGCATGAACCACCTGCGGGAGAACGGCATCGTGCACCGGGACATCAAGCCTGGCAACATCATGCGCCTCATTGGAGAGGAGGGACAGAGCATCTACAAGCTGACAGACTTCGGGGCTGCCCGGGAGCTAGATGACGATGAGAAGTTCATCTCTGTCTACGGGACAGAGGAGTACCTGGTGAGTGACACGTGGGGACCTGCTGTCCCAGGCTGAGGGTCTTTCCCCATGCTGATCACCCTTGACTCGTGCCTTGTTTAGAGCCCCCTAGAAGGGGTTCTTGCCCCTCGTCCTGCTCTCTCAGGTTATATCTCCTCCACCCCTGCTATACCCCTACCAGAATTCCTCTGCTCTTTAAGACGGCCTGCCCAGCCCCCCACAGTTAGCTCCTCGGACCCATCCTCAGGGGGTGAGATGCAACCAGTCAACACCTTCCCCTGGGCAGAGGGCGATGCTCTGGGTAGTGAACACGGTGCCCATTTTTAAACTGATGAAGTAAATGGATTCAGAATGGTTTCATGTCCACCAAAAGTCCACAGAAGGTGCCCCCTGCCCACTGTCCCCCTCCACGGCTGCTCTCTGCTCTCTCTCTCACAGCACCCTGACATGTATGAGCGGGCAGTGCTTCGCAAGCCCCAGCAAAAGACATTTGGGGTGACTGTGGATCTCTGGAGCATCGGGGTGACCCTGTACCACGCAGCTACCGGCAGCCTTCCTTTCGTCCCTTTTGGTGGGCCCCGGCGCAACAAGGAGATCATGTACGGTGGGCCACAGGGTAGGGAATGGGACTTCCTACTGGCTGACCCTGGCCCTTTCCTCGCTGGTCCCTGCTGCCTCCTTTTCCCCTGTCCCCACCCAGGCTCCTCACTCAGACTAGAAGCTGAACTTCCCCTGGCTCTGCGGGAGATGCTCATCCTCCCTTTTCTTGGTTCAGTGTTTCACTTCCCTGACGCCCAGCTCACCACCTCTCTACCGAGCCTCAGAGAGAATTGCCCAAGGTGGCAGAGTCTGCCAGGGCCAAGGAGGGGCCAGCTCCCAGGTCCAAGGTCCTCCTGTGGTTTCCAGCTGTTGGATACAGAAGGAACTGGAGACAGTGGCTACTCCCAGGCTGCACTGCCCAGAACAAAAGGGATGTGATTTGGGTGTCACACGGAGTCTCGAGACTGCAGGATCTCTGAAATAAAAAGATTCACTGAGCTTTCACATATACTTATCAGAAAAAGAAACGAAAAAAAGCAGGTCCTGGTGTGAATCCTGCAACTTACAGCAGCAGAGCTAGGTAGCAGTCAGAAAAATGTCCACTGGACCTAGAGTTAAGAGTATTTCTTTTTAAATTTTAGGGAAAATAAACACACACACACACACACACACACACAACTTGTTTACATTGAATCTATGGCTGTGCTATGCTCTGGGTAGTGAACACAGTGCTGATAAAGTAAATGGATTCGGAATGGTTCCATGTCCACCAGAAGTCCACGCAAAGTGTCCCCTGCCCACTGTCCTCCTCCATGGCTGCTCTCTGCACTCTCTCTCAGGATGAGACAGGAAAGCTTTGGAATAGGAATCTGTCCCTAAGAAGAACTCATTGCCTCTCGAGTTAGGAGTCCAGAATGTTGATATAAAAACAGGGCAGGATGTCCCTGGTGGTCAACAGTGAGGGGACTGAAGTCAAGGTTTCCAGGAATGTGGAACACTCTTCCCTTAGTGTCCTTGGAGCTATTAACTGATTAACTTCCCTTATCTCTTCCCTACTCCATCTCCTGGTACTAGTAATTACATTTATGACATCTCAGAATTTCTGTTTTATCAGTGGATTACCAGGAAGGTTGGTGCTCAGATCTTCAGCCCAGGGGACAAGCTGTGTGGAGCCTATATTAGGTTTAAAGACAAGGGAAGGAGACTGGCATAGATGGAGTTGTCAGGGAAGGAGAGACACTGAAGAGAGGGTTGGGTCAGAAAAGGACAGAAGAGGAGAGGAGATTGGAGGCCAAGATCAGCATGGCACAGGTGTGCAGGTGTCTGGGTTGTGGCATGTGCAGAAGTGGGTGGAGATAGCAGATGGTGGGAAGGTCTCTGTCTAGAGCAGGGAGCTTGACTGGGGAGCCAAGGCAAGGGGCTCTCATGGGCTGAGGGCCATCTCTCTCCAATTCCATTTCCAGCTCACCTCAGAGTGTCTGGGTGGCATTAACAGGTGCTTTGCACCCTCCATGATAAGTTTGTTGTCATTTGAAGTATGGTGGGTTGGGGGCCCCACTAACTGATCCTGCCCCACCCCAGGTACCGCATCACCACAGAGAAACCAGTTGGGGCCATTGCAGGTACCCAGAAGCGTGAAAACGGGCCCCTGGAATGGAGCTACACTCTCCCCATCACCTGCCAGCTGTCCATGTGAGTGGGAAGGGCGAGCACATCCCCAAGTCTGGGCTGGGTATCACTTCTCTCCGCTGAGTGAAACTTGGAGGCCTGTTCTAGTGGCTCTCTTGGGTACACCACTTTTCCTTTGTGGCCTTGGGTTTTCCATTTGGATGCTGGAATGAATGTTTTTCCAGCAATTCTTTCTCAACCCAGCCTGCTCCACCACCTTGGTCCTAGGTCCTCAGGACCTTCTTATGGAATGTCCCCATTGCCTACTTGAGGAGGACCCATCTGGCCCTAGCCCCTGACCGTCTCCATGTCCTGGGAGGGCAGGGGGCTGCAGAGCCAGCTGGTGCCTATCCTGGCCAACATCCTGGAAGTGGAGCAGGCCAAGTGCTGGGGCTTCGACCAGTTCTTTGCGGAAACCAGTGACATCCTGCAGCGAGTTGTCGTCTATGTCTTCTCCCTGTCCCAGGCCGTCCTGCACCGTGTCTACATCCACGCCCACAACACGTGAGTGGGGGTGAGGGAGGGAAGGTAAATATGTGTCTAAGGCAGCACCTCCCAAGGCATTCTCTGTGGGGGCTTAGATAGGCACAAAATTAAACAGATTTCTTTGCTTGACTTCAGAAGTCCAGTATTCTTCATGATGCCAATGTGCATTCTAAGTCTCAGAAGTGTGTGTGTGTGTTTGCATGTGTGTGAGTGTGTGTGTGCATTTCCTAAATTTATTAGAGTACTTTATGGGATTAGGAGAATTTTAAGGGAAATGTAGAGGGAACCAGCGTGCAAAGGCAGAGGTTGGGTATTGGGACTTCGGGGTCCTGTTTCTAGTCTGTAAGACGAACTCTGTCCTTTCTCTCTTCATCTTTGATGAGAGGGAAAACCACCTCCATCCCTCCCTCTGAAAAGCTGAGCTCCCCCCATGGGACAAGTCTTAGCTGGGATTTGGTCTCCTGACCCCACATCCGGCCCACTGATCCTTCTTCCTCCCCTCCCTCTCTCCCTGGCGGGTGTAGGATAGCCATCTTTCTGGAGGCCGTGTATGAGCAGACCAATGTGGCCCCCCACCACCAGGAATACCTCTTTGAGGGTCACCTCTGTGTTCTTGAGCCCAACCTCTCAGCACAGCACATCACCCACACAACTGCCAGCAGCCCTCTGACCCTGTTCAGCATGGCCAGCGAGACTCCAAAGGGGCTAGCCTTCAGGGACCGTGAGTAGGATCACCCAGGCTGGGCAGCATTCTCCTCCAGGATGCAGGGGATTACAATCCTGGGCATTAACTAATGGTTTTGGTTTCTTTTGTTTTGTTTTGTTTTGGGGTGCATGGGGTATAGAAGGCAGATCCGGGTTTACATTCTGTGCATGCCTCTGAAATACCATGTGATTTTGAGTTGGTGGCCTGACCCCAGGGGCTTCTCAGTGTTCTCAGATCTGTGAAAGCAACACCAACTGAATCAGGGTTTTGGCTTTAGGGTGTGCTGCCCAATCTCTGTGATAGAGGGGAATACCTTGGTAGTTGGTATTGGAAGAAACAGGAACCCAAGCTGCTAGAGTAAAGGACAGGTAGTCAGAGTTCCAGAGCTTTCTCCTTTCTCCAAGTTCTAGAAAACTATCATCCTTTCTCATTTTAATGATGCCAATTTCATCTTTCTTCCCTGAGGTTGGGAAGGTGATTTAACCTTGAAACCCTTGGGCAAGACGCCCAAGGGGTTTTGTTCATTTTCTGTTGAGCCAAATCTTGAGCTTGAGGATTCTCAAAAATGGCCACAAGGTGGCAGTAAAGGACTGCAACTTAAACACCCACTCTCCTTTCATTCAAGCCTTGGAAGGTGAGGGCTCTGGGTGAATTGGGAAGCTTGAGGTGAGAGATTCTTGAGGGTGTAATGTGATCTGGGAACAAGAAAGGATGAGCTCAGAGTTGATCCAGACCATAGGGACAAATCCCTCAGATAGGGTCTTTATCTGCAGCTGCTCTGGACATCCCCAAGTTCGTCCCCAAAGTGGACCTACAGTCAGATTACAACACGGCTAAGGTGAGAGGTGTGCCCAGATGGCAGAGAGGAGGTGTGGCACAGGGGTAAGAGGTGTGGGACCTGACCCTTCCCACCTGTGTGTTTCAGGGTGTGCTGGGCGTTGGTTACCAGTCCCTGCGGCTGGCTCGGATCCTGCTAGACGGGCAGGAGCTAATGCTTCGGGGGTTGTACTGGGTCGTGTGAGTGCCCCTGAGGGCTAGGGGGAGGGCAGGGCGGGCAGAAAGGGCAAGGCTAACCATCCAGAGTTCCTCTGCACTGTCCCAGGGACCATGCCAATGTGCATGGCTTGCTTGGTGCCTCAGTGAGGGCGACCTTGACTCAGACTCCTCTCGAGCAGGGAGGTGCTCCAGGCCACATGCTGTCGGACTCAGGAGGTCACACGGACAGCCCTCTTCTTCCTCAGCAGCAGCCTGGGCACTGAGAGGTGAGTATCCTGCCCAGGCCAGCCCTTCTCTCTGTGTCTGTTCTATACCCTTTATGGCTCCTGTGGTGTTATCTGGTCTTCCCTGACCCAGAGCTCCTGCCTCCCCTGCCTGCTAAAATAGAGAGGGCGCTCCCAATCTGTCCCTCCTGCCCCACCTGTCAGGATGACTGCAAAATAACCCTCCCAGTCCAGTCGCTCACCTGGGAGACTCTGAGGGCACTGCCTGTCCCAGATCAGGCAGTCTCCTAGTCCCAGCAAAGGGTCTCTGCTCTCCTAGGTCTCTCCCTGAATGATTTGGGATACTCATGCTGCACCAATACCCAAAGCAGAACTCTAGGGAAAGACTCCTGGCCATGGCCATGCACAGTCCATGGACTTGACCCAAGGTGGAGATCCAATGATCTCCATGCCCCAGCTCCTGCCTCCTCCAGATTTTCCACTTGTCTCTGCCTTCTTTGGGTTCCCTGCCCAGTCATCAGGACCCTGTACCTTCTATTCCCCTGTTTTGGGCTAAGTAGGGGTGATGGGTTAGAAAGAGAGAGAGAGGATGGGGAGAGGAAGCAGAGCTGGGGGTTCTAGAAATGAGAACAAGGGAAGATTTTTTTTTTTTTGCCAGAGCACTGTGGAGAAGTGGGCACAGCCCCCCAAACCCTGGAAGTCTTAGGTATGAGGCAGGTGGGAGATGGGAGCTCTGCAGACCAGAGTCTTTCCTGCCACGAGGAAATGGTGGTGAAAAGAAGCAGATACTGCCAAACACACCTGAAGTCCCCCGCCATCCCCAGCCGTTGTCCTCAGAGGTGAGGGAATGGCTTTCCTTGGGCTGACTCCCCACAGCTCTGCCTGTCTCCTGGGGTCTGGCAGCATCCACACTGATAATGGGGCAGAGGGGATGTGAGGAAAAGGAGTGTCTCCAGATGACAGGGGTGGAGTCCTGTCATGGCTGAGCCCCTTCAAATGGTGACACAGGGTGGGATCTATCAGCATGGCTTATGAATCTCCTCTGAGCAGAGTCTGTCCAAAGCTCAGAAAGGAGATCCAGGGAGAGATGTGGCATCACATCACACAGAGGGCCCCAGACTTCTCTGACACGTGAGGGCTGGCAGAAAAAGTAAAGAGAGGTAGAGGCAGCCACTGAAGCCTTCCTGGAAGAAGAGGCGTTTTAGGCCAGAAAGAGAAAGAATACCTTTTGTAGGAGGGTCTATGCAGAGATTGGAAAAGAGGACCATGTTTAGAGGAAGGAGGGGGGTCCTGTGAGGTTAGTGAAACCACAGTCGGGATGGCAAATGTCCTGGAATGAAGCCAGAGAGGGATGGGTGGTGGGTGGGGAATGGAGGGGAGGGCATGGGGGTCCAGGAGGGTCCAGTTAGAGGGAGGTTGGGTGCCAATAAAATGACCATTAGGTTCTCTATCAGGGAAGAGGTGTGTAGAGAAATTGATTGCACATCCATCTAGCTTTGCCCTGGCTTAACAGGAGGTGGAGCCTAGTGTCATGGGGCTATTGTTTTTCCTTTCTGCCTCCAAGGCCTCCCTGAGGCCTGGTGTGTCTGGGGAACTCATGGTCAGGCATGCTACATTCTCCTGTCAAGGAGGATGAGAGCAGGACTCCAGAGGGCCAGGTGCGATAGGACCAGGCCCTCACCACCTTTCCCCACCTGGGCCTCTGACCTCATTTTCTAAACTACCTCTGGGGCCTCCCAGCTCCAACATTTTGCAATCCCATTCTCTTCTGCACATCCTCAGACCTATAGGTTCCTCTAAGGGCCAAAGCCACTAGCTCCACCTGCAGTGGAATCTGAGGTTTCTGAGCTGCAGGTAACATCTGCAGGTACAGAGCGGCCCCTCAGTGCCTCGCCTGGTCACCCACGTCCCTAGCAGGCAGCTTGCATCTCTCAGCCCGCCACAGCTCCCTTGGCAGAGTAGTCCTGCCTTTGTCCCAAAGCCCTGTGACACTCCTCTGCAGCTGCTGCTACCTGAGGCACTGTCTGGGCAGCTAGAACTGGCTCTGAGAACCCCAGGGCCCCCAGTCCCACCCCAAAACTGTGTGCTGGCAAGCCCTTTACCATGGAGGTCTCATTGGATCCCCATGAACACCTTATTAAGGAGCAGGAAGAAAACTTGTCTCCCTGTTTTATAGATGAAGAGCCTGAGACCTTAGAAAGCTAGGGGGACTAACCCAAGGTCACGCAGATGGCAAGTGTGGCTAGCAGGACCAGGACTTGAATCCAGGACTCCTGACTCCCTGAGGGGTTGCACTGGGTCAGCTGGTCCTCTTCTGCCGTCTAGTATTCCCCTCCCCAAATGGCATCCAGTAAGGGCATCCGCTTCATTCATGAAGTGGTGACTGCTGCCGGCCCTGACGTACCCGATGAGCAAAACAGACAGTGTCCTTGCCTTTGTGAACCTTCAAGTTCACCCCTAAGCTCTCTGCTCACTTCTTTCCTCCCCGACCCTCCATTCCTAAGCTAAAATATATGGGATTCTTTTTTTCTTAATTCTTTTTGTTATTTAAAAAGTATATGTCACCGGGCACAGTGGCACACATCTGTAATCCCAGTAGCTCCAGAGGCTGAGGCAGGAGGATTGAAGTTCAAAGCCACCCTCAGCAGTGAGACCCTGTCTCTAAATATAATACAAAATAGGGCTGGGAATGTGGCTAAAATTGTTTTAAAAAATAAAATAAATAAAAAGCATTTATTAATTATAGAATATTAGAAAGTACAGAGAAGCAAAAGAAAACTTCACCACCTTTTGCCCCCCAGAGACAGGCTGTTATATTCCATTAGCATATCTATATGTAGTAAATCGCTTTCTATTACAAGAGTTAATATGCAAAAATGCATATTAACCAGCATGTATTTATTTAGTACTCTATAGCCTACTTTTCTCAGCTAAGGAGCACCACCCTCTTCTACATCCATACATTTTCCTCTTATCTGGTACCTATCTCTTTTCAGATTTTTCAGATTACCCCTCACATTTTCTTTTACAGCTAGTTTTATTCATACTGGAATCCAGTCCAAGACCTCACTTTGTTTCTGGTCGTTCTGTCCCTTAAGTCTATTCTAAGCTGGCACAAACTCCGAATTGCCCGCTGTACACGCCACTGGCTTATTGCAGGGACCAAGTTCGTTGTCCTGTCTTCTGGGCTCATTTAGAGCTTCCTCCTCATGATGTCTCCCTGTTCTTCTTTCCTGGTATTTCCAATTTACACTGGGACTTCTACAGACTGAATGGATTCAAGTTAAACATTTTATGTTAGAACTCATCATAGATGACACTGGATACTTCCTATTGACACATCACTGGGCAGTGACAGCTTGATTCCTCTACTGTACATGCATTTTCCTTGCAAATGAAAGAATCAGGATAATGTCACTTTGTCACCAAGCAAAGGTCCACCCCTCCACCATTCATCATTGATTTTAATACTATGCTGAAGAGCATCATTTCTCTGGGGAAATAGGATGCTACCATCCTAAGCTGTGGTATGTTATTGCCTAGTAGTCTACAAAAGACAGATCTCCTTCATAACTGTTGGTTATCACGGAGTACAGTTTCTACTGGAAAGTAACTTCATTTTCTCTGTTTAATTACAAATTGTCCTGGTAAGGAGTTCATGAAAGCTACTTTGTATCATGAGCTCATTCATTTTCATAGATTCAAGGTGTCCCAATGCACCTCAACCTTTATTCTTTGCAGAATTCAACAATGTCACAACCATGGTCTACAGAGCTCTCTCAAGTTGGCTCCTTGTGCCAAACTCCCTAGAGACCCTGAGAGCCATCAAGGTTGTCTCAAAGATGCCATGCCAGCATGTGTTCCCAGAGATCCCTGCTCCTAAGCCCTCAAGTGCAGCCTCCCTCTTTCTTTCTCTCCAGGTTGAACAGCACAGCGGAGACACCTGAGGTCCAGGAGCTGAAGGAGGTTGCAGATCTGAGGTCCAGGTTGCAGACTGTGAGTGAGCTGGGAGACAGGAGTAGAGGTGGGGGTGGGCAGTGTTCTAGCCGGGCTGCCCAGCAGGCCTCAAGCTAGGGACCCCTGGGGGTCTGCCTTTTTGTCCCATAGCTGGCTGAGGTTCTCTCCAGATGTTCCCAGAATATCACAGAGACACAGATAAGCCTCAGGGACCTCAACTCAGCGCTGGTGAAGAACCGGGATCAGGTACATGAAGACAGAAGGTCTGTGGGATTTTCCTCTTTTGTGGGGTTGGGGTAGGGAGGGGCCCAGCCCACAGGGTCCTTTCCGGAAGTCAGCTGGCTTCTTCCCTTCTGTTGGCAAGACTGTTAGAGCTAGGGTAGGAATACAGGAGGGATCCAGACCCTCTCCTGAGACCATAGGAGAAGAGGGTCTGCCCCTACGTGAGAGTGGAGTCAGGAAGCTGCGCAGGTTCTGTAGTTCTGGGAAAAGTATGGGTCCTTTCCCTCTTTCTGTCAGGCCCTTGAGTGGGTCTTGTCACTCAGTATCTCACTGAATCCTCCAAAAACAATAATACCGCTATACTAATGGCCATTTATAGATGAGGAAGCTCACTATGTGAGGTTAATTTGCCTTGAAGTTGCAGCCAGTTAGTGACTAGTGACAGAGGGCTTCAGGACAGATCTGTCCAATTCCAATGTCTGTGTTCTTGACCTACAGCAGACAGGATTTTAACCTTTAAAAAAATCCATTCTCCTTTTACACAAATGCCCACCCACCCCAGGGTCTGCTCTGTGTGGAGCTGTGGGCCCCCTTGCCCCAGTCTGACAACAGGGCAGATGGCGCCTGTGGGGAGCATGGTACCTGTGGCAATGAGGGCCTCCACAGATCCATTATCACATATGCTTGATCCTAAATTCAAAAGCGCTGAAAACCACAGGGTTCTTCTTAACTGTTTTGGCCACAAAAGTTGACCTAAACTGACATAATGCTCTTCACAGTCTATCTAGTCTACTTAGGGTAAATGTCCTTCTGTTTCTCTGAAGATGTGAGTACATTTGACTAGGGACATGGCCCCTGTGTGGTGCCTGTATGTGCACTGCTCTGAATTACCTTTTAGAAAACACTTGACCCTGAGTCTTTTGGATAAACTCTATGGATTCGGAGTCCCACCCTGGTCACCTTGTCCTCCACCCCCACATTCTGAAAAGGGCAGGGAAAAGTGAGTGTTCTGCCCAGAGTCCAGCTCCAGAAACAGCTAAAATGAGGTACCTAAAGGAGCTCTGGGAAGAAGCAGAGTCCGGTAGGCCTGAGGGAGAGGAAGGACCCCAGACATCTCAAACACAGGGCTTTGTCCAGTCTGAGAAGACCCTTGAAAGGTCACCTACTGACTCTCCTGTCTCCTGGCCAGACTGCTGACCACTGATTCTTGTTTTTTTTTTTTTTTAATAATTGTTTTTAGTTGTAGATGGACACAATACCTTTATTTTATTTATTTTTATGTGGTGCTGAGGATGGACCCCAGTGCCTCACATGTGCTAGTCAAGCGCTCTACCACTGGTCTACAACCCCAGCCCCCATTCCTGTTTTAAACAAGGATCACGGGTTCATTATTTATCATAGAATTCTTCTATATGCCAAGCTTCGGGTATACCAAGAGAGTTTGCCCTTCTGCCCTGTGCAGGTGGACAGGAGTGATTTCTGTTCCACTCCATCCCAGCTGTCTTTGGCAGACTCTCTTGGGTTCCTGGGGCCTCTCAAGGCCTACTCTCAAGACTTCCTGTGGAGCAAGGGCCACTTCCCTGTTGCCTGACCAGTTTGACTTCTTCTCTCACCTCTTACTTAATTTTTTGTGTGTGAGGGAGTGTGGGGTGGGGGTGAACAGGAGAATGGGAGATGGCTGGCTTGCTCTAAGATTTCTCAAATAATCTCAGAGACAGAACAGTGACCCCTGCTTCCAGACTGGCCCCCAGAACTGGGGCAATGAGGCTCCTCCTGCAGGGAGACAGCTTCTCCCCTACCCAACCCCCATCCCATCCTCTCCTTCACCTTTGCTCTGTGCTGTTTGATTCTTCCTGTTGTCTCCTGCCACAGCATCCAGCAGATTCAGTGTTGTGTGGACAAGATGAGCCTCATCTACAAACAGTTTAAGAAATCGAGGATGAGGCCAGGTGAGCCATGGAGAGCAAATGTCCCCTATGCTCTCTTCCCTCCCTCTGTCTTCCTCCCTTCCTGAGATTGGTGGATACTCCATTCGGTGTGGGTGGAGGCCCCTGAGTGGATGGTGCTAGGTGGGGCCAGGGAGCAGCTGGCCTAAGGCCACTGCGTGCAGGCCAGTGAGGACTGAAGCCTTTACTCTTGTGCCCATTGTCCTGCGAGAGGTTTAGATGACATGGGTAGGGGACACAGTGGGCCAGAGCCTAAGTAGTCCTGGAAAGGGACTCCTTATTTTGACAGGGCACTTTATGGTTTGAGTGTTTTCCTATCCTCTGTGTCTTTGGGGGTACAGAGAAAGCCAGGTTTTCAAAAGGGGGATCAGAAGAAATCCCATTGAGAGTCACAGGGCCAGGTGACATGCCTGTGTGATCTACTAATACTCACAGAGACCTGGGCGGGGCCAGCCCATTCACAGGCTATGGGATGGGAACCTGCTTGCCAGAGGTGACTGCCATCATAGGGAAGGGTGGGGGTGGTAAAGGGGACAGGGGGAGCCTAGGGAGGCCCCAGTTAGCTGGGGAGCAAACACATCCAAGCTGACCCTCTGCGTCCCCTCCTGTTCTAAGTGTTTCCTAACCCACAGACTGCAGGCCTTAGGCTTTGTTGCCTAATACTCTTCTATCCCTGGGATTATCTCAAAAGCACTGTTCAATAAAAACACAATGAAACACATATGTAATTTTAAATTTTCTCACAGCCAAATTAAAAAGTAGAAATAAAAAACATGCAAAGTGCTGTTGTGTGTACCTGCAATCCCAGCTACTCTGGAGGCTGAGGCAGGAAGGATCACAATTTCAAGGGCAGGCTGGCAACTTAGTTAGACCCTGTCTCAAAATTTAAATTTTTTTTAAAAGGCTGGGGATAGAGCTAAGAGATAGAGCACTTATCTAGCATGTGCAAGGCCCTGTGTTTGATCCCCAGGACTAAAAATATAGAAACAGGTAGAATTAATTGTGATATGTTTTATTCAACCCAATGTCACTGTAGCATGCAATTAGAGAAAACAAAATTACTAAAGAGATATTTAATGTTTCTTTTCTCACAGAGTCTTCAAAATCCCATGTGTATTTTACACTTAGAGCACATCTCTATTTGGAAGCTAAGTGTTTAACAAAGTGAAATGTAGTCTTAACAAAACAACAGATCTGTGTTTAATATTTAATATGTTAAACCACTTCAGCTTTTCAACTAATTGAATTAATTCAAATTCAGGTCCTCGGTTTTACTAGCTGCACATCAGGTGCTCTGTAGCTGTGTGTTTGGTGCTACCATAATGGACACAGAGATCTCCAGAAGATAATCCTCTCTTTTTAGGAGTCTCAGTCCTGCCTCTGAATCTGACCTTGGAGGGTGTAGGAGACCACAGGGCATGGAGAAAGCGAAATCTTCTGTCCCTGTAAGCCAGCTAGGCTTTGGGGCTCAGCCAGACTGGCCCTATATCCAGTTGGCTATGGCTTCAGGAGCACCTCGGAGGTCTTCTGCCACTATGGCCAGACTCCATTAACACTACCATCTAAACTTCACCTGAGCACCTCCTGTGCTAGGCACCATCCTGGGGGCTCTGCATGTCTTAAAACCCTGGAAGCCATTATCCTCCCCATTTTATAGATGAGGAAACAGTCCAATAGAAACAGAAAGATAAAGTAACCCAAGCAATATAGGTTTAGCAACTTTCAGCTGCCCCTCTTTACAGCCTCAAAGGATTTTCATTTCTATTAGTCTTCCAGAGCCTTATTCAAACCTTTAACTGCTAATGCCTGGTGTGTTAGAAGATGCCATTCTGGGAGACACTCAGTATCTTTGGGGCACTCTCTGACATGATCCATACAGAGCCCCAAGTGGTACCTGAGATGGCTGGGGAAGCAGGCTCACTGAAGCAGAATCATCTGCCTTTGGCCACCTGCTAATAGCAGGCAGGTCAGGGACTTGTTCCAGATCTCTTGGACCCCACAAGTACTCTATGCTGACTGTGGGGCTCAGGAAGGGGATCCTGCTATATTAGGGGAGTGGAATGGGAAGGCAGGAAAGGCCAACTTGCTTATTATCTTGGGGCTGCCATCACCTATAGGCCCATTCCCTTGAAGCCCAGCAGGGGGCAGCATCTCCCTGATGTGAACATTAAGGCCCTTCAGGGGTTGGCCAAGGCCAAAGTCATAAAACTTCAGCCCCACTGGCCAACGTGCTCCATCTGCAAAAGTCACTGGGCAGAGAGGGAGAATTAGAAGGTGGTGGCCGTCCTTCTCCAACTAGTTGCTGCAGAGTCCGTCTGGCTCTTTCGGGAGCATGATCTTCAGGGCTTGGGCCGACCAGCTGCAGGCATCAGTCCCTCCTGGATGAGAGCCATGGCTGACCAAGCATCTTTCAAGGCCCATCTCACCCACCACTCCCCAGTTCCCAAGCCCCCAGCCCTGCATTACAAGTTCACCATCCTCTGGAGCTCGTGGCAATTTTTCTGCAGCTTCTTTAGGCCCCTAAATCATAACCAGGGACTTGGTCAGAGTAATAATGTCCTAAGTTGTAATAAGTTACGTGGGTGTTCCTCTCCCTCTGTCTTTCCTGGCTCCAGTGGGCTGTGAGCTCTCATGAAACAGGGCCCAAGCTGGGCTGTCTTCATCTTCATAACTGACCCAAAGTCCCTGTAGCACTCTGTTTTGTTGATGATTAAGTAGGTGACATCATTTCTGTCTGTTTCCTTCAGGGCTCGGCTACAATGAGGAGCAGATTCACAAGCTGGATAAGTGAGTGGCCTGTCCACTGGCAGGCGGGGACCAGGAGAGTGGATTCAGCAGGGCAGAGCCATTGTCTGTGCCAGACAGGAAGGGCCCTGCTCCTAGGCTGAGCTGAGAAGAGGGGGATAACTCTATCTGGGGCAGGTTATCTATGGTCAGGGGAGGACACTGCCTAGCTGAGTCAGAGGGAGGCTTCGGCAGCAATCTTGATGTATCTGCATTTACTTCTGGCATGAACAATATTGGGGCTGTTTTTTTTTTTTTTTTCCCTAATTGTCCTCCCTGATTTACTACTTCCCACTTCCTGCCTCTGACCTCTGCTGCTTTGTGCTTCCCTCAGCTTCTGTTTTCCAGATACTTTCATCTTTCATGATGCCTCCCCCATGGTCTAGTAGTTATTTGGAGACCCTCTCCCCAGGTGTGCATCCATCCCTGTCCCCCTACACAAACACACACCCACACACACACATACACACACACACACACATGCACATAATCATGGGGGTGGGAGGGCACATAGTCATGCACTTTCCTTAACCACCATCTGTCCTTCCCCCTGCTTGAGAGTATTTCAAGAGGGCCCCTCATCCATCTCCCATCCCTGTTGACACCTGTGCTTTGCTGACCTCTGGCCTACATGATGCAAATGATTTTTTTTTTTTTTTTAACCAGGGATTGAACCCACAGGTGCTTAACCACTGAGCCACATCCCCAGCCCTATTTTATTTTGTATTTCAAGACAGGGTCTCAGGGTCTCACTAAGTTGCTGAAAGCCTCATTGACTTGCTGAGCCTGGCTTTGAACCCGTGATCCTCCTGCCTCAGCCTCCTGAGTTGCTGGGATTATAGGCGGGTGCCATCGCACTCAGCTAAAATTGTGAATCTTGACAGTGGCTCAGGCTGCTCATCTCTAGGCCTTGGTTTCTCTGTCTTTTCAGGGTGAATTTCAGTCATTTAGCCAAAAGACTCCTGCAGGTGTTCCAGGAGGAGTGTGTGCCAAAGTACCAAGCAGCCCTGGTCACACATGGCAAGAGGATGAGGTGAGAGTCTGGCCCTTCTTCTTTAGCTCTTGGACCCCAGGATGGGCCTGGCCCCCTCAGGCTTCTGAGGACCCTGAGCTCTACAAGCCCTGGCTGAGGGAGAGGAGTAAGTGAAGAAAGAAATGAGAAAATTGGTGTTTTTATGTACCTGGGCAGACCAGGCAGTCTGTTGGGATGATTTCTACAAATATGCTTGTTTAGACCCAAAATATCTATACAGTAGATGTTATCCCCCCATTAAGGCTCAAAGAACTGGTCTCTTTTAAACATCACACAGCTAATAAGTGGCAGACCCAGGATTAGTACATAGGTAAATACACCTCTAAAATCTGGATTCGTTCCCCCACTCCAGTTGGTTGTGGTAGGAACCTCCTCTCTGGGGAGAATATCAGGTTCCACTGGGACAAGGACAGTCAGTTTATGGGCTTCTGATTGGGCAGAGAAGCAGGGGCAGATGGTGTCTGTCCTCTAACAGAGCCTTCTTACACTATTCTCTATAGGAGTTTGGGGGTCCCCTTTCAGGCAGGACCCCCTCCTTCCCCTGTCTACATGAATACAAGTCCCTCCCTAGATGAGAAGTCAGGCTCCAACGTGCTGTGTGATCCCTCCCTGGCTGAGACCCATATTAGAATAACAGTGCCCTGTTATTCTACCTCCAACCTCCAGTCCCTCCAAATTCTGAGTTGATGGATCTGAGTTTAGGTAATAGCTCGTCAGGATGATCCTAATGTGTAGTCAGGGTTGCGAACCAACCAATGATCTAATGGCTCTGGGCCTCAATTTCCTCTCTGTGTAACAGGGAAAAGTCCCGGTCCATATCCTCACCTTAGAGAATTCATAAAAGTCTTGACGGTGATTTGCTTTGGAAATGGGATGTGACCCTTCTGCCCTGTAAATGCCCCAGCATGGGCTACCATCTGTGTCTCTGGAGCCTCGCCCCTCTTGTGCGCATGTGACCTGTCGAGCACATGGAGTCCATGCTCCCTACGGTGGTTCTGTTGGGACCCTCCCCAGCCTCAGTCAGCAGGGTCCATCTTTGTGGAGGCAGGTGAGGGATGAGCCACGCTTAGAAGGGCAGAGGCAGAGAAGGCAGCAAGTGCCTGGGACCCATCGGAGTCTGCAGTGGCCCTGTGATGGCTGGGTGGGCCCCAGGAGGAGTGAGCGGAGCCCTGCTCCAATTCTAATTGGTCGCCTGCTTTCTCAAGGGAGGTGTATGAGACCAGGACCCACCTGCGCCGGGTCAGCTGTTCTGTGACCTCCTGCAACACAGAAGCGCAAGGAGTCCAGGAGAACCTAAGCAAGGTGTGAGGTTTTCAAAGGTCCCTAGAGCTGCTGGTGGTGGTTTTCAGATACCCTGGGGTGGGGGGAACATTGGGGTCACTTTGATGCAGATTAAGACTCTGACTCACAAACATGCCCTGAGCACAGAGCAAAGATTGGAAAGCATGTCTTGGTAATCTCAGACTAAAGGTCACTGGGAGGGCAGGAACTCTGGGATGTTGAGACACCTTCCTCGGGGTCTTGTGCAGCCTGGAAGGCTCCAAGGCCTCTCTGAGCAAGGCCATGGGAACTCTCCTTGGTCTTCTGATCAGCTGTCTGCAAAGAGACCAACACTTAGGTGGCTCCGAGAACCTGCCTACCCAGCCACAAGGAATGGAGGGGGCTGCTGCTTCCCAGAGCCAGCCACTTGTTGCTCCTTCTCACCTCCCCAGCACATACCCGTGCAAGCAGCTCCCTGCTTTCAGAGAGTGGCCAGGGGTTACCCCTACCCCTTCTCTGCAGCCCGTGGCTCATATTACACCATGAGACGATCAAGCTAGACACAAAAGGGAACTTGACGTTCTGCATCATTCAATCCAAGCACAGATGAGTGAAAGTAGTTGTGTCACTGTATTCCCAGGATGGGAACAAAGGGCTCATGGGAAAGCCTGGACAATTCCAGGGACTCCAGAGATGCAGGCTGGGGGTAGCTAGTTACCCTCCTCTTACCCTTTCTCAGCCTGTCCCCTCCCCAGCCACAAATAAGCCAGCTCAAATCTTTCTGACTAAAGTGTGACTTCCTTCAGATCCTAGACCAGCTATCCTACCAGCTCCTTCAGGACAGAACAAAAGAGGTACAGACCTCACCACCCCCCATAGCTCCTCACCCCAGTCCTGCGCCAAAGGACCTGGTTCTCCAGTAAGTGCCACAGAGAAGGGTGTGTGGTGGGAGGGGGGACGAGAGGGGACCCTACGGTGCTGAGGTTAGGGCCCGGTCGTTTTCTCTCAGGTTAGGCCTAGAGGGCTGCCCCTTGGCAGGAGAGGAGGGGTCTGGGCAGGGCAATTTCAGCCTCCCGTCACCTCTCTGGCCTCTGCCTCCACAGCATGCAGGAGCTCTGTGAGGAGATGAGGTTGCTGGCCTTTGACCTGCAGGACAACAACCGCATCATCGAACGGTAAAAAAGCTCCTGCTATATGCCAGGGAGGGCTGGGTCCTCAAACTGCCATGGCTTGAGGGGTACAGAGTCCCCGGGCCTGTCCACACAAGCTTGATGGCATGGATTTTCTTTCTTTTTTTTTTTTTTTTTTGCGGGGGGTAGGTACTGGGGATTGAACTCAGGGGCACTCAATCACTGAGCCACATCCCCAGCCGTATTTTGTATTTTCTTTAGAGACAGGGTCTTGCTGAGTTGCTTAGCACCTCCCTTTTGCTGAGGCTGGCTTTGAACTCGCGATCCTCCTGCCTCAGCCTCCCGAGTTGCTGCGATTATAGGCATGTGCCACCACACCCCCAGTTTGATGGCATCGATTTTCTAAACAGCTGCATTGGAGTTTAGACCATGTCCACAAGCGGGTCATCATCCTGAGGGGCTGAGGTTTCACTTAGACTTTAACATGTGAGCCTCAGTGCTGTCAGAAAGATGGAGCTTGGAGGCAGGTGGATTTGTGCCTGGGTCCTCATCTGCATTGAGTGTGGACACTGTGCTCAGGCTTCCCACACTGTCTCCTGGAGTCTCCCCAGCTGTCCTCGGAGTGGGCACTACCTCCATCCATATGTCCTGCCCCAGGAAACTGTGCCACATGCAGCCCAGCTTCAGTGCCCAAAGCCTGTGCCTCTCCAGCCTCGGGGGGCTGTTCTCCTGCCCAAGCTCTTAGCCAAGCTGCCAGGGAGACCCTCTACTAGGGTGGGAGTGAATGCAGTGGCACGCACACTTTTTTGGTTTTGTGCACCAGTAAAACTCACAAAAAAAAGAAAAAAGAAAAAAGAAAGAAAGCCAGGATTGCCAACTACTCATCTGACTAAGCTTGCACATTTGACAGGACAAAAGGCCTGCCCTGTAGCTGTCCCACTTACAAAACACATCAACACCAAAGATACGATCTCAGAATAAAGGACGTTTCCGCTTGTCCTGAAGACTGGAGACTACCTGGATAATATGCACACACTTCCACAGTTTCCCCATCAGCCTTAAGTCTGTCTTTCCCCCATTCAGGGACAAATGGCTGACAGAAAGAGGCAGGGATTTCAGTGGGATCTGAATTCTGACTATGCTCCTTACTGCCTGCTCATCAGGGTCATCCTGGGAGATTTGCTTAGCTCAGAGCTTCAGTTCTCTCTCCTATGAAATAAAAATAACAATTCCTACCTTACAGCATTATCACAGAGTTTAAGATGTGATATGTGAGGTCCCTGAGGGCTAATGGGGCTGTGGAGGGAAGGACTCAGTAAACATTCATTGTTTCCCAGAGGTCACTCCAGTCTGGAACCTTACACTCTGGGCCAGACGTAGGGCAACCAGGAGCAGAGCTTGTGGTTTGTCCCCAGCATTTAAGAGGCCCCTTGGGTAGGGGAGGCATGTCCTTCCTCTCCACTCGAGCAGGAAAGTCCATCCTCTTAAGTGCCCGAAAAAAAAAAAAGGAGATTCAGCAACTTTGGAGAAACTTTCCAAAATAGCCCTCTCAGTCAGGAAGTTCTACTTTTAGTACCGACATAAATTTTTCTTGCTGTGATATGTGGTCTATTTACAAATAGCTCAAAACTTTATTTTAGTGGTTTTTCACTTCCTTATTCAGAGCCATAGCCAAAGAGATAATAAACCAATTTGAACTCCTTTCCCACCTCCTAAACTCTGGCTGCACATTGCAATCACCATGGAAGTTTCTAAGAGTGCAGATGCCTGGGGTTGGAGGGTATCCTAGGCTTCCCAGGTGGTCGTAACAAGCAGTCAGATGAGAACCAGAGCAGTTCTTGTCAGGGAGCAAGGGCACTACAAGAGGACAGCTGGGCACTTGGATGGCTGGGAACTCTCAAATATTGATGGTTCTGGGCTCTGGGGTGTGTTTTTCAGGTTTCTCCAATAAGTAGGTGAAACTAACTCTGCTAACCTGTGCCTTTCATTACAGATTAGGTAGACTCCCATCAGCTCCTGACGTCTGAGCTGTGGTGGGCGTGTGAGGCATCCAGAGCATTAGAATCATTCACACACTGCTCTTCTGCACTGCGGGACCCAACCCAGGGTGAGATCTGGTCCCATCTCATCAGCCTACCTCCCTCCTGGCCACTGGTCGGGAGATGTCATCATCAGCATTACCTTCCAATGTCTGTTCCCCTGGGAAGCTGCACAGCCGACTCTGTCACGATCCACAGGAAAGTGCAGCAGCCACTGCCTGGACCATCCTTTGTGCTTTCTCCAGGCTCTGGGACTGCTGCTCTGTCACCCAGGCCTGGAGGCCTGAACCTGGCAAGGCTGTGGGGAAAAGAGACTCCCACAGGCCCTCCCACCCCTTCTGCACTCCCCAGGCATCAGCAGAGGAGGCCTTCTGGGACTTCCCCGGGGTACAGGTCAAACAACCTCACCTCCATCTTCCTTCCTCTTCCTCTTAAGGTGTTTCACACTGAATACCCCCCACCTCCTGGGTCCCCTAGTTTCACCATGTTTGGCCACAGATAACACAGAGGCCAGTTGTCCCTCTGTTCTTGGTCTGGATGAGCCTCAGGTTGAGAAAATGGGTGGTGGGCCAAGTGCCTGTGCCTCAGGGACTCTTTGCTTGCCTTCTGGCTCTAATGCATCATCTGGTCCTGGGCTGCCGCTAGGCAGTGCTGACGGGAGCCCTGCCAATGAGCGCGGGCCTGTAAGCCCAGGGCCCTGAGCAGAGAGCAGGCCTGCACCTTCGAGAAATAGAATAAATTTCTCTGTTACTGGGCTGAGAGGCAGGGAAGGTCCTCAGCTGGGTGTACTTGGCAACCAATCAGGGCTGGGTGGGGATCTGTGAGAAGCATTGGAGGCAGCTGGTCTTACCTGATTCCTGCCTTTCCCCTAAGTGGGCCCAAATTTCAGGGAACAGCCCAAGGAAGACGTCCTCTTACTCGGGGAGGAGAGGTATTATTTGCCATTCCTTCCATTTTCCTTACCCTTGTCCTTTGAAGACTTGCATAAGGTCCTGAAACTTGGGGAGAAAAAAAAATGTCTATCTTTTCTTAAACTCCACATCCACCTTCTAAATACTTGCTGCTTTTCGCCATCCCCACTACTGTTCAAAAACACCTAAGCTGAACGCATGGTGGCCCATGCCTGTAATCCCAGTGGTTCAGGAGGCTGAGGCAGGAGGGTTGTGAGTTCAAAGCCAGCCTTAGCAATTTGGCAAGGCCTTAAGCAACTTAGCAAGACCCTATCTCTAAATAAAATACAAAAAAGGCTGGGGATGTGGCTCAGTGGTTAAGTGCCCCTGAGTTAAATCTCTGGTACCCTTCTCCCACCAAAAAACAAAACAAAACAAAAACAAAAGATGTGGAGAGCTCTGGTGCCCCCCCCCCCCAGAAAGGAAGGGCAAAGTAGACCTAGGCCTATGACCAGAAATTCCTATAAGAAGCTCAGACATCTGAAGACCCCATAAACTTCCTTCCCTGCTCCTGGCAAAAAAAAACCCTAGGCTGTGTCCTAAGTATGTTTTGAATGTTTACATTATTTTTCTTAGAAGCCAGAGTGGTGTCTGGGTAAGTTATTCTAATTAATGCAAACTGCCTGCACAATTTAGTCTGTTCCCTGCCCGCACCTCCAAGCTTCCTTAACCAGAGCTGCACTACCCACCTAGCTTGGGCGGTGGAGGAAGTGGGTGGGTGGCAGCCCCAGGAGGACAGGAAGATGAGCAGGGAGCCCCACTATGAGCTTCAAATCATGAAGATGACATTGGGCTTGACCCCACATAACCCCGGAGATGTATCCTGTCCATCTTCATGGGAGGCTTCATGTCCTCAGAGGCTACTCCGTCTCAATTGGAAACTGTTTTGCCCAGTGACCCCTCAGGGCTAGAGTGAGGAAGGCCAAGTCCTGGAGACTGTTGTCCTTGTCTGCTCTGCTGGAGTCAAGTTCAGGCCAATAGTTCTGGCTCATCAATGGCCCCACAGGAAAGTCCCATAGTGGATTTTCCCTGGCAGCTGTGGCTGCTCTGGAGCCCATGTGTTTGGTGTGGCTCAGTGAAAGAGCCAGGGGTTCCCTGAAAGCCAAAATGCAGATGTTTGGAGATGATACGACTCAGGCTCTGATCTCATGAGCAACGCCCATGAGCTGTGGGGGACATTCACAGCCGAGTCTGGGCAGAGCTGCTCAGGCAGATGCCTCCACCCAGCAGAAGCTCTGAGAGCTCTGGTGCCCTCCCAGAAAGGAAGGGCAAAGTGGACATAGGCCTATGACCAGAAATCTCTGTAAGAATCTCAGACATCTGAAGACCCCATAAACTTCTTTCCCTGCTCCCGACAGGGAGTGATTCCTGACATATGAGTCCCAAGAGCTTGTTCAGTTCATTGGATGGCTACTGAGCACTATAGCGTAGCAGGCCCCATGCTACTGACACTGGCCTGGCCCTGAGGAGCTCACTTTGGGAAGGCAGGCACGACAACAGGATTTCAACAGCACCGTGGTGTAGGAATGAATAGGAATGCACAGCTCAGGGTAAGAAGTCACCATCATTGCAGGGCAGGGTGTCTAGGTCAGACTGGGAGGCGCCAGAGATGACTTTGGGAGCAGATGACCCCGAGTGGAATCTTAGCAGGTGAGAAGGTAATCCTCATAGCAATGGGAATAGCAGAAGCATCCGTGTGGAGCTCCTATGTCCCTGGGGAGTAAGTTAATGTAGGAAGTCAGTGTCACAGAAAGGGAGGAGCCAGTCCCCAAAGTTTCAGGACACATTAAGGATTGTGGGTTTTACCCCAGGGGTGTAGTTGTTACCAAAGGGCCTGGTGCCTCTTTCCAGCTGGAAGAGAGAGCTGTAGGGCGCTCTCTCTCTCTTTCTCTCTCTCTCCTCTTCCCTCTCAGAATCCACAATTTCCTCTTGTCCTGGTCCAAGATGCAGATTCCAGGACCCAGTTGGATTGGATTCCAGAATCCAATTGGCAAGGGTGTGGCCCAAGAATCTGCATTGTTGATGACATCCCTGCTGATTCTTACCCAAGCTAAAAGCCAGGCAATGGCAAAAGCCTTACCCCCAGCTTCTTGGGAAGCTAAGACAGGAGAATCACAAGTTTGAGGCCAGTCTCAGCAACTAAGTCACACGGTGTCTCAAAAAAATAAAATAAAAAGGATTGGGATGTGGTTGAGTGGTAGGGTGCTTTCTAAGCATGCATGAAGCCCTGGGTTCCATCCCCAGTACCACAAAAAATATGAAAACAAAATAACAATCTAAAATTTAGCATGGAGAAGCAGAGTTTGCAAATGTACTGCAGAGGACACTGAATGGCCCTGGACTAGGTGCCCCTATCCAAGCCCCTTTGTAACAGCTGCGTCCAGAGAAGCCAGTATAAGGACAGGATGGATTTCCACAATGGCCTGGCTGCCCATCTTTGAATCCACCACTCATTTCACAGGGGGCTCCCTCACTTGGGCAGTGGAACCCCTTAAAGAATTGCTACAACTGGCCATTTTGGGTTCACTTCAAAACAGCTTCAATGATTTTCTAAAGACCAAATTCCATGTTGTTAAGGATCCTTAGTCGGGCACCTCCAGGGGGACATGTTGAGGGACCGGCCAGGATAACCCAAAGCAACTTTATTTTCCCTGGAAGCTCAGAAAGACTGCCACCTGGGGCAGCATGGATCCTTTCTCTGTACCTTCATCAGAAGGAGGTAGGGAGGAGGGGAGAGGAGAGATGGGAGTCACCATGGAAAGAGGAAGAAGGGAGGGAGAGATAAAGAGAGGTGGGGAGAGATGGTGTAGTGGGGAAGGAGAGGGAAAGGGAGACGGAAAAAGAAGCCGAAATGAGAGCCATAAGACAGAGGAAGGGATCAGTGCCAGGTGGTGGGGGCTGAGGTGGGGCAGGGATATCCCATGAGGTCATCCAGGCCACTCTGCTCTTGATGGTCTGTCATAGCCCGAGTTCATGGCTTCCTGCCACTGTAATGGGCTCAGAGCTGGCTTAGCGCTGGAATGTAAGTGGCTGTGGCTTGCAGCCTCCCTGCTGGCTGAGCGACAAAAGCTGCTGACAAATCTGCTGGAATATCTGAGTTTTTCCAACATGGAAAGGAAAACACATACACACCACACACACACACACACACACACACACACATCAGTCTTATCATAAGCTTGGCAGAGTGGCTTAGAACGGAAAAATTCCATAATTGAGATGAGGTGGAGGAGGCTCCAGTAAACTGGTGGGAAGCAAGCCCTGCCCACCCCATCCTTCACAGTGACACCTTTCTAGGAGCCCCTTCCCCGATCAGCCCTTCTTGTTCCCAAATTCTGTCAAGGACTTAGAAGATTTCCTTGGGAGCTCTGGTGTTTGGTGACATACCGCAAATCCATCCCCTGGAGCTAAGGATAGTGCTCCATCAGCCCTCATCCTGGCCAGTTAGAAGCACCTAGAAGCAGCATACCCACCTGAGTGACCAGCATCTTGGAGGATGTACAAGAATCTCAAATGGAACTCCCAACCTCACTCCCACTTCCACTCAGCCCAGCAGGTTTTCAGTTACCTTCCATTCTCCGCAGACCAAACAATGCCTTCATTCACACCCCTGAGCACAGGAGCCATGGTTTAGAGGGATGCTAAGAGATATGTCCTAGTCCTGAGCCTACAGCTAAATGTATTTCATTAAACATGGAAGGAGCCCCTTTCGTTTTTCAGCACACAGAGGGAAAGACCAAGATCTAAGCAAGGGATATAAAAATGTTAAAGTGTCAGTGCACCTCACATTAGGACCACGTGCATGTCAGAGACACAGAGACTCATGCAGCCTAGAAGAAGGAGAGATGAATTCAATCTGGGTGACTCTGGGAAGGCTCTATACAGAATCTGGAATTTGGACCAGATCTGGAAAGAAGAGCAGGATTTCAACAAGGAGAGAAAACTGGGGAAAGATGTTTGCTGATCTTTGCATTGTACCTACAAAGCCAGATCAGAGATTGGCTGCCTCTCTTCCCACAGCAGCTGGGCAGTGCAAAGGCAAATTTATGCATCTGAGCAGATTAGAGTCCAGACTATGACACCTGATCAGTCAGTCTCATGACATCTGGAGCTCCAGTTTCTCATCTGTAAAGAGCAATGCCAGCCATTTTACATTTTACAAGGGACTTTCAGACACATTTTAATTCTCTAAAACATTGTCACCATTTCAGCTTGTGGTATCTAGTGATACCAGGTATTACCCCTCATCAGTGACACTCATTTCTTTGAGAGGCTGAGCTCTATAGAAGTTCGAGAAGAGAAGGAGGAAGGGGGAAAGAAATAGCCTCTTCCCTGAAATGTCATGGAGGAGGTCACACAATTTTAACTATCTACTGCTGTGGCCCCATTTCCCCAGTGTGGCCTGGGAGCCATCTTACAAAACACAAGCTAATAGCCAGGCATGCTGAATCAGAAAGTCACATGACTTCTGGAGCCCCAGTTTCTCATCTGTAAAAGAGCAATGCCAGCCATTTCACATTTTACAAGGGATTTGTATTTACAATGCATTCTGAGGATGCATCCATTGAACAAACTCAGGGGTGGGAAAGTTTGGGAGCTCTGTGCCTGCTGTTCCTGCAGCCTGGGACACTCTCGTGCAGACTGACAAAAGGCTTACTTCATTCAACCCTGTGTGTAACTGTGCCTCAGAAAGGTCTACCTAACAGTAGAATGAATCAGACATAACTTTCCTGTGTTCATATATGAATACATGACCAGTGTAACTCCACATCATGCACAACCACAAGAATGGGAAGTTATACCCCACATATGTATGTCAAAATACACTCTACTGTCATGTATAACTAAAAAGAACAAATAAAAAAGAAAGAAAGAAAGGTCTAATGTAGCAGTCCTGGCATACCCTAGGCCCTTACTGGGCTTTGTCCTAGACACACATGTCACACCTACATTTGTTTGTCTGTCTGCTGTGCTCTCCTTCTAAAATGTAAGCTCCACGAACACGTCTGTTGCACTGTTGCACCATCAGTGCCAAAATGTCACCTGAAACTTAGTGGATGTTAGAGAATGACTTGCTAAATGAATGAAAGACTTTTCTCTTCCCTTGAAGATTGAGATTCCATTGATCAGTGGTACCTACTGCCAACTATTTCCAGTTCTTTCCCATTCTGGGCACTTGTGGGGGATTACACATCTTGCTTCTCTTATATAGGGCATTTAACTAGTTCAGTAAATTGTGAGGAATAAATACCCCAGAGTATTTATTTATTTAGTGGTGCTGGCGATTGAACCCAGGGGGTCACACATGCTAAGGAAGCACTCCATCACTGAGTTATACCCCAGCTCTTTTCAGTATTTTGAGAGATTCTCTTTTGAATTGCCCACACTAGCTTTGAACTTGTGATCCTCCTGCCTCATCTCCCAGGTAGCTGAGATTATAGGACTGAGTTATCTCTCCCACCAGTGACTGGCTAACTTTAAACTGCTAATGTGAGATCCTCCAGGTTCTCTTGATTGCCCTCTGGCACAGTGACATTAGATAGGAAGACTGTGCCATCAGCCTGGGTCCCAGAGTAACTCTAATGAGCACAATGTCCTGGTCAACCTGTACAGGGCATGGAGTATTAAGAAGCAGTCTCTGTTACTTAAGGCCCTGAGATTTGGGTTATAGGTTAGCTAGCTTTTCCTGCCGTATGCAATAATCCTAAGTAGACAGTTGTATAACTGTCAGCCTCCCCGATTTCTTTAAAAGCTTTGGGGATTTGGGGGCACCTTCAATACCCTCAAAGTCACCAAAAACAAAAGCTTCCCCTTTGGAAAGTCAGGCTGTGTTCTGCCCTTCCCTTTTCCTCCCTAACAGAGGGGCAGGAGGAGGGAGTTTGGGGGACAGTATTAAAACAATTCACCCAATAGGGAAGCCAACACGCTCTGGGACCACCTCTGCAGTGACTTCACACACTGACCATACACTCGAATTCGCTGTGGTAATTCTTCCCCTTGGTCAAAAGTAAAAGCAGCAAAACCCACTCTGCTGGGAGTGAGTCATCATCAGAAAAAAGGCAAGAGCTCTGAGCCAAGAGGATCTGCTAACGAGGAGAAAACTCCCAGTGGAGGTGTTTCAGCAGATGCCAGGGGCTTAGTCTTGGAACTGGATGACCAAAGGCAGGGCCAGAAAATTTTAATGTCCAGGCATTGGACATACCCCAGACAATATCCTGACCCTACCGGGGACTAAAATGGTTCAGGACTTCTTCCTGGTGAAGGACGAATGAGTTGCTACTGTGTGAATGTGTGTGTGTGTGTGTGTGTGTGTGTGTGTAGTAGGAGGGGAGGCTATTTCAGGGAAGAAGGGGACTGAGCTATAAAAGATAGCATCTGAGGAGGCAAGTCCCACGCAGGGTGCCTCCTATTGAGGTTGGGGGAGGCAGCCACCTCTTCTGACCTCGATTTCTTGGCTGAAAGAGATGAACCTTAAGATAAACTTAACAAACTGTGGATTGGCTGCATGAAGTTATATCTCCATTTTCATCTCTATTCCCATTCCAGAAGCCAAATGTGGGGCTCTGGCCCTACATCTCCTCCTCCATCCAGTGCTGAGAGCAGCCATTGACATGCCACCGAATCAGAGCTACAGCAGGAAGACAAACATTAAGCCTTCTGCACAGCTCATACAGCCGTGAAGTTTGCACGCCTGGTTGTTCCAGGCAGCCCGCAGGCTCCCATCCTCCAGAGCCTCTCCAGCCAGGAATCTGGGCTGGGTCTGGGGACCGGGAGTAGGGACGGAACAGAGATGGTGATCACTGGAAATTACTTCGTAAATGGTATTTTATCTTTCAGTGATGTACTCTTTGCCAGAATCCTGTTGCTTCTTGCCACACCAAACTCTTACCCAGAGCCCAGGCTGGGTCCATGCCCCGGGCCTCACTCAGTACACTACACTCCTGAAAGGGAGTGATCTTTGGACAAGTGTCAGAGCTTTGGAGATAGTTGGATAACAGAGAGTGGGTACAAAAATACCTACATACAATATAGGTTTCTGTAACAACCCTGAGAGACCTTCTTCTGTAAGCCAAAAAGTGGGAAAGATGGAAATAAGAGTCCATAAAGGCAAATGTACACAAACCACAGAAGGCATTCACGAATAGCCCCTTTTGTTTTTTTCCAGTCCTATTGCACTGGAAGTTTGCTAG